TTGTGGTTAGTTCAATTCCATGTCATGCAAGGGAAGAGAGATGGAGAAAGCCAAATGAGGAAGAAAATCTAAGGGTGTATACCAGGAGGCAACCTATGACTGAAGAGAAATGGAGAAAGCCAAATGAGGAAGAAAATTTAAGGGTCTATACCAGGAGGCAACTACAAGATGAGCAGCAACAACAACAATCTCCAATAGCAAGTGACACACATGTGCAGGGGGAGCAACAGGCTCCAACAAGTGTTAAAATTGTTGAATTGTCTGATGGTGAGACATGTGCCACTCCAACTCCATCTAATGTAAACGATTCAATGAACTTGCCTATTGCCTGGAGGAAAGGAACCCGAGTTGGAGCTGGAAAACCTCCAGAGAGGTATGGTTTTGAGCATGAATAGCTAATTACGTATCATATACATCTCTGTCTCCGAGATACAAAGCATTCATTGCATCATTGCAATCTGTGGTGACTCCAAGAGATTGGAAAATGGCAAAGCAGGATCCAAAGTGGTACGAGGCAATGTTGGAGGAAATGAGAGCACTTGAAAAGAACAAGACATGGGATATTGTACCTCTTCCAGCAGGAAAAAGACCGGTTAGCTGTAAATGGGTGTATACTGTGAAGCAGACTCCTGAAGGAAGGGTAGAAAGATACAAGGCAAGGTTAGTGGCTAGGGGCTATAGTCAGACATACGGGATTGATTATGATGAGACTTTTGCACCTGTCGCAAAGATGGGCACAGTGAGAACCTTAATTTCTTGTGCCACTAACTTTGGTTGGGCTTTGCATCAGTTAGGTGTAAAGAATGCATTCCTGCATGGTGATTTACATGAGGAAGTTTACATGGAGATTCCACCTGGTTTCTCAAAGCCCGAGACATCAAGAAAGGTATGCAAGTTAAGGAAGTCTTTGTATGGCCTCAAACAGTCTCCACGAGCATGGTTTGATAGATTCAGACGTGCTGTGTGCAATATGGGATATAAACAGTGCAATGGGGATCATACAGTATTCTACCGGCACTCAAATTGTCAGATTACAATCCTTGCGGTGTATGTGGATGATATTATAATCACCGGAGATGATGATGTGGAAATATCACGACTGAAGAAGAGCCTGAGCAAGGAGTTTGAGGTAAAGGATTTAGGCCAACTGAAGTACTTTCTTGGTATAGAAATTGCTAGATCCCCTAAAGGAATTGTTCTCTCACAACGAAAGTATGCTCTCGACTTGCTTAGTGATACAGGCATGCTTGGGTGTAGGCCTGCTTCAACACCTATTGACCAGAATCATAAGTTATGTGCTGAATCTGGGGAACCAGTGGATAAGGAGAAGTACCAGAGACTTGTTGGAAGGCTCATCTACCTATGTCATACACGACCCGATATCTCATATGCAGTGAGTGTGGTGAGCAGATACATGCATGATCCTAGGAGTGGACACTTAGAGGCTGTCTATCAAATCCTCCGATATCTGAAGGGTAATCCAGGAAGGGGGCTATGGTTTAAGAAGAATGGGCATCTTAATATAGATGGATACTGTGATGCAGACTGGGGAAGTTGTTTGGATGACAGAAGATCAACTTCTGGTTATTGTGTGTTTGTTGGGGGAAACTTGGTGTCATGGCGAAGTAAGAAGCAGCCAGTGGTGTCCAAATCAACAGCTGAAGCTGAATATAGAGCTATTTCACAAGGCTTGAGTGAGATGTTATGGGTAAGAAATCTTCTCTCTGAGTTGAAGGTAATAAGGAAGGATCCCCTAAGGTTATGGTGTGATAATAAATCAGCTATCAGCATTGCTAATAATCCAGTTCAGCATGACAGAACCAAGCATGTCGAGATAGACCGCTTCTTCATCAAGGAGAAGTTAGATGATGGCATAATCAGGATAAGTTATGTGAGCTCTAGAGAACAAGTGGCTGATTGTTTAACTAAGGGTTTAAGTGTCAAGGAGTGTAATTCTGCGTGTGACAAGATGGGAATGATAGATATCTATCACCCATCTTGAGGGGGAGTGTTGGGCTGTATATGTGTGAATCTGGCCCACATGGCCCATGTAAACCAGTATATGTATTGTATAGACTAGAGAGGAAGAGAGTTATCCAGAAATTTCCCAAACCCACCACACTTCATAACCTAGTTGCTTGAGAAAATCATCAATCCACAATACTGACCAAGTGTCACTATCACAATTATCAAACCGGTCCACTTCATAGTCCATATAAGTCATGTTGCAGTCACTTCCAAAAAAATCCTCTGTGGCGTATTTCGACAGTGAAAAGGCCATCAAAAGATCCTGCAATCAAATATACATCTTGATTTGTCAAACCAATTAACACAACTCTATAATGCTACAAACTATTGAAACTGACAAAAATTAGTAAACTAATTATATTGTACTGTTAAGATAACTGAAAGTGTCCTCAAATAAAGTTAATTGTATATGGCAAAAATTTCAGTAAACTAATTATATTGTACAGTTACGATAACTGAAAGTGTCCTCAAATAAACTTAAATGTATATGGCAAAAAATTCAGTTAACTGAACTGAATCTGTCCACAAATTCAGATTACTATAAACTGTTAATAATTCAGTTAACTTATGTAGTAGAAGAAGGCTCGCTTGTAGTTTGCATGTCTCATTGTACTCCCAGGTGTGTAATAAATATGTAGCTGCTCCTGTGTTGTCATCGTCAGTCTTGTGGCTGGTGATTGCATCTAGCGAGTAGACTGACTACCTTACAATTACAGGTTAAAACTTCTCATGGGTTGTACCATAAATCAAATTAATTATATTGCTGAGTTAACACATTGTTGTACCATAAATAACTATGTACTAAATCTGTCCATAAATTCAGATAAGTGAGTCTGTACGTAAATTCAGATAACTGAATCTGTCCACAAATTCAGATAAGTCTGAACTGTTAAAAATTCAGTTAACTCATGCAAGCCATACATTCAGTTATGTGCAGAGGTAAATCAACATTAATTTGATGTATGAGTTAACACAGTGTTGCCCATTTCAACTAAATTTACATCTCCACGCTCTATTTGACCAGTACATATGTTCTTCCTGTCTGTCTTTAACAAAATCGGATGAAGGAACCACCTTTAAACCCCCTGTTAAACCCTGGAACAAATCTGCTCTTTTGCCCATCTAATCCTTCATGGATGAAAAGATACTCAAATCAAAGCACACACGAAACATACGTGTAAAATCAGATTACCACATCATGATCGTTATCCTTTTAGCCCTAACCTAAATAGGGTCAGAGAGGGGGCAGAGACGGCACATACGAGAAAGGAACTCACCATAGTGTGGTGCGTCCTCGCCGGGCAGCCGACGCCGAGGCTCGCCCGTCATCGCCGCCACCCACCGTGCTGGACTGTCGCCACGTTCGTCGCCGCCTCGAGTTGATCGGGAAGAGAAGGAAAGAAAGAAGGCGTACGAACAGGCGATCCCAGGACAAAATCGCAAAAAACGAAAAAACTGCCTTCTCCCGCCGTTTCGGCATTTTTTTCTGGGAATCGGTATGAGGTTAGGAGTGTTTCTGCAAAACCGCCACGCACCAGCCACTTTCCTACCGCTTCCAGCCGCTGCAGCTGGGCCCCGCGAGTCAGGGTACGGCGTCACCTCTGTTTTGAACCGTACGTGCTCGTAGAAACAACTTTTGGCATCACTTTTTCGTATTTTGCAACATCAGGCACCAAACTGCACATTCTAAGCAACTTCATGTACCACCAGTGCATTTACCTCAATCTAATCCAACCATGTTTGTTTTGGCTCAATGGCTTAATGGAAATTAGTTCACGTGGGCTCAAAGCAACCCGTTGACCTTTCCAAAAGATATGTCATATGTACTACCAAGCCTTTAATTCTGCTTTGTTTTTTATACTTGGCTCAGTGGCATGTAGGCACCAGAAGTATTTACTCTCTAGTCTCACTGTAATTTCAACTCCATACTGGAGTGCCTTTGATAAACCCTACATCCACCTCCAAAGAGGTGATTGTTCACTCCCATCATTATAGATATATTAGCTTCACATGATGTATCCTTTTTTAAGTTACAATCAATGGAACTTAGTGGTGCCCATTTTAAAATTTTGTTATTCTGTGTTAGTGCTGTCTTATGCTATGAAAATTTCTGATGATAATGTATCCATGTTTGTTATCACCGTTAACATCAAATTTGAATCTCTTGCTTCAATGTGTCAGTTTGATGGATAAATCCTCTCTTCCATCTATGGCGTAATGTTTTTTTTTCCTTGTTCTCACTGTTTGGAAGTCCAGGAGTATCTTGTTGCATGTCTGGTGTTTATTATTTCTCCTACGAGTCCGAGATAGCCACGGGATTTGTTCAGATACACTGAAGCTTACATCTAGCCAATACTTGTCATATAGCATGTCTTGGTAAATTAACATGCCGTGCCTGCTTCCTGCTGGTGTTTATTCAGTTAATGCCATGCTGTCTTTGTTTAATTTTGTTGAAAGACAAATGCTATCTTTCCTTTCTGTCAAACAAAAGATGAGCATGCTAGTATCATTCTTTTCTATCAAACAAGATAAGAGCATTTTAGATGTCATCATTCTTTTCTGTTGACAGTTGACACCATGCTACTCCCTCCGCTTCTAAATATAAGTATTTTTAGACATTCCACTATGGACTACATACGGATGTATATAGACATATTTTAGAGTGTAGATTCACTCATTTTGTTCCGTATGTAGTCATTTATTGGAATCTCTAAAAAGACTTATATTTAGGAACGGAGGGAGTATCATTCAAAAAAGGAATTCACTATTCTTATCCTTTGCAGTAACTTAAACAAACCAAGCAATGCTTTATTAACAAACAGGACAGTACAAAAACTTAACTGCGTTTACAATCAACACCAAACGCAAGCCAGTAATAAAACATCCAATAGAACAAAAACATTACAAACACACTGATAATATTATGTGTACGAATCAAACCCCTGACTAGCAGTCTCATGCTATGATGACCTTCATGGGCTGGTGGTTTCTGGAGGTGGGGACATGAATGGAATAGGTGGCATCTGGAACCCAGGAATGGTAGGCATAGTTGTTGGTATTGTGATCGGGATGGATGGAATAATAGTTGGAATTGAGGGCATTGGTGGCATGGTAACAGGCAAAGTAGGAATGGTCGGCATGGTGGTTGGGATCGCCGGAATCGGAAGAGATGGAACTGTGCCAGTGGCGGTTGGTGCCATGGCGACCTTCGGGATCGGAATGAACGGTATTGGTGGCATTGTGAGTTTCGGAACTGCGGGAATGGAAGGAATTGAAGGCAATGTGGTTGGAACTTCCGGCGTCGAAGGCTGAGCTGGTGTGGCCTCTGGTGCAGCTGCCGTGTCCAAAAGACGACGAGACGCCGCAGAGCTGCCATTGAAGGCTGTGAAGGCTAGGAGCAGCACAAGGAGATGGTGGACACCTGGAGCCATGGTAAGTGACTGTGTGTGCGCGCTAGGCAGGCCTTCTATGTTTATTTGCTCTGAAGATATCTGTGAATCTGAGATACTGGGGCTATTTGTACAAAGATGATATACTATGGCCACCACTGGTGGTTGATCTGAAGTCCTTGGTCTGGTTGTTCACCGCCCAATGTACTTTCGAGATGCAGATCAGGGAGTTTGGGAAGTTCTTCGCTTAGCAGCTTGGGTTGATGGACGGCGCAGTTCATAGTGGTTGGGATTTTTTTTTTTGTTCTGAACTTTTGATTACCAAGATTGTACACGTAGTGAGTTCATCGTGGGTGGGAATCTTTTTCTCTCGATGAAGGTGGCATGGCTACCAATTTCTTGTGCATGAATGAAACTGATAAACACGGTCAGGTTTCAGGTTTGGTCCTGCCAGAAAAAAAGCAGCTGGGCATCCGCCCTGCCACACTCCAAGCATCTCTGCAGCTTGGTCACTCTAGACCTCTATACTTTATTATAAATGCTGAAATGAGACAGTCTGCAGCATGAGACCAAAAAGACTACAAAACAGAAAAAGAGTGGGAATACCGAGCAAGAAACGTGGACTACTGAATATGGGTCAGATGCTCTCGATTAATAGTAAATTCAGGGAAATAACCAAAAATATATCAAAAGATTCTAAATTTTTGTGACATCCAGGATACTTGAGTTTTCTAAGAGCACGCAAGATTTTGTTTGCCAAAAAGGAAATTCAGGGAAAATAACAAAAAAAATGGATCTAAACAGTGGAATTTTTTAAAGTTTCTTTGAAAGCCATTTTTTCCGACGACCTCATTGAATGTCGTGACACCATAAGAATTTGCATGCACCTTGCGTACTCAACCATTATGACTGTAAAAAAATAGTGTTTTTGGATTTTTCTTCTATTCTTCTTAAGAATTTACTGTTCACACACGGAAATAGATGAGTTTGGGCTTAGAATAGCCGCTCTCATAAGACAACTTCATCTTATGCCATGCATGTCATTTAGAGATGCCTAAAATATATTATACAATGGATTATTTCTTATTATTATCTCTAAAGACCAATGTTTGAGTGCTCCTAAATTTGTGGGGTGACATGAATGGAATAGGCCATTCACATTGCAGCCGCCACACCCGCCCGTGCCTCCACAAACCTCTAAGCCCAACTCTCTCCGGCACTGGCGGCCTCTGTTTTGGACTTGTTCCCCGCGGGTGATGCCATGGCGGTCGCGGCATCCCCATCTCCTGCTTGTTTCCGCCTTGCCCTCACCGTGGAGGACGCGGCCTCCCCATCACAGGCTCGGGGCTTTAGTGCTCCTTGCTACCTTGTCCTTCTATGCAAAGGAAGAATGGACTGACGCTAAAACTCATTTTAGTTGCATGAAAAATAGCAAAAACGGGGGTTTTAGCATATAACTGAGTAAATTTCACACTTGATTGGTGCATCGAGCACAAGTTATTCTTTGGAGATTTCAATATGATTTAAGCAATTTTGATGGAAGTAGTAGATATGTGCCACGGGGCTATAGGCTAGGCCCGCAGAGTCATATGGGATATGGAGAGCGCTCATATGGATAAGAGGTCATTGCCGCTTTGCGCAAACATGAAGTGGCTATAATGCGGCTTCATTTTTTTTCCTGTTTTTTTTTGTTACACCAACTCTAAATTTCACACACTCAATCTGAGTGATTAAAACACTCATTTGAGATAACATTGCATTAGAAAGTGATTAAAAAGGGGGTAGCAAAATCACTTATTAACTTTTTTTACTAAACTAATGACTTTTTACAAGTTAAGAGAAGCATTAGTTGCTCTTCACCACGACGATGGTAATGCAGTACATGGGGCACATGCATATGTGGTGAGTCGACTTGTCCTCTATGCACGGTGATGTGATGGTCCGATGACCTTGTCTTCGTCTCATTCCTGCCTGTCACCGTTGAGTCTAGAGACGGATTTTTCAAGAGGGGGGAACACCCAAGAGGGCGCGATTCATCTAGATGAATGCCATCATGTTCATGTCAAATGTGCGCCGCCTGATGCGCTCCCTCTCCGCTGCCAGGTCCACATGTTTCTCTTCATATTGTAGCCAGATGGTGCGGTCGCTCTCCACCCGCACTGCCTTCTCGGTGCCGCTATGTTTGAAATTTTCACCGGGGCGACCGGCCGAGGCGTAGGCAGCGTAGCATTCATCCCATGCCTCCCTTATAGAGAGACAACGGGGAGGACATGGTACCCGAGATGAGCTACGCGGGCAAGTCCTCTCCTACTCATACGAGATCTGCACGTACCTGTGTTGTATATATCAAACAATGGATGTGTCATGGGATTTCAATCCAGACACTCATCAAGGGCAAGTTACTTGTGCGCGGCCTCCAGCACATAATGGACATCCTCCTCCTTGGCGATGAGGGAGGCTTCCTCCTCCCGCTTGCTCTTCGTCCAACATTCGCTCCTTCTCCGAGAGCAGCACCCAATCCGGCCGCAGGGGAAGAGGCATGGCGACAGGGCGGAAGAAAGTGGTTACGAACAGCGGGATTGAAGTGGAGGTTGTGAGCTATTCGGCCATGACGACGTCCTTTTAGTAGCCATTGACGGCGAGCGGCGGGTAAAAGTGACAGGCGTCAAAAAAGTATGGTGAAAAACGTGGCAAGAGTGGTCGTGGGCACATGGCACATGGCGGCTGCCATTAATTGGCAATGCTTCCCGATGCCATGGCCGTCTGGGTCATCGGCAAGAAGAGAAGATGGGCCGCCCGGAAGGCTGAGGAGGGAGACGAAACTTTCTTCCCGCGCAAGCGGTTGGTGAATGGAGCACGCTCCAAACCAACACCCCCTGTTGCTAAATATATGACGATCAGGGGCGAAATGACGGCTCCGCTAGAATGCTGTTTTTTTTTGACTTAAATCATCATATATTGAGTTAATGACAAACATTGGGGTGGTCTGCAAACCAGCAGGAACGATCGATTCTTGCTCAGACTGTTCTGAACTACCGATGGACAGAACACAGCACAACAGTGCACCACAACTGTTGTGTCTTTTCTTCTTTCGAAAATCCAAACTTGATGATAAAAACAAAACACAACAGTGCACCACACGAGCCAAGCTGCAAAACTCAACCACCGCCACAGTGTATACCTGACAGGTCTCCTAGTGCCGGTTGCAAGTACACGAACCGACCATGGCAGGCGAAACTACACGTACGTACGCATGCAGGTTGGCCTATAGCAGCACGAAACAGGCAGCCATGGCGCTGTCGTGTCGTGTACACGGCATTGTCCCCTCCGTTTTGCTGCCCTGGCGTTGCATGGGTGCTAGAGCCAGAGCTAGAGCTTGGCTAGCTGAGCTGGTGCACCGGCGAGAGGCGCGGCCGCTTGTACCCGTCCACGGCGGCCGCGGCGGCGAGGAGCTCCTCCCGGTTGAGCAGCACGGTGCGGAGCGCGGCGCGCAGGGTGGAGAGCGCCACCGCCCTGTCGTTGGCTGGTTCGGCTTGGAGGTAGACGTGGTCCAGCTCCAGGACGCTCCGGGTCCTCCCGCCGACGGTGGCGATCTCGGCGCGCACGGGGCGCGCGCTGCCGACGGAGCGGACGGCGCGGCCCAGGTCCGACATGAGCCCCGGGCGGTCGGCGCAGCACACCCACGCCCGGACGCGACGCCGCCACCGGGGGTCGTCGTCCGTTGATCCGCCATTGATGTAGTCGCCCTCCTCGACGCCCACCTCGTCTGTCTCCCCGGGAACGACGTCCACCACGCCCTCCGTCGCGTCGTTGGCCCTGCCCTGCAGCTCCCGCACGTGCCGCACCACCTCGCCCAGCAACGCCGCCTTGTCCATCTGCACGCACGTACGCGGCCAACCATGTCACCAAATGCGTCTGTCTGCGCCAATGCCAATAGAACTCGAGCCACAACTAGCCTCGTGCGTGCCCATGGCGGCACGTAGACGTAGGTACAGGTACGTACCCGGGAGGCCGAGGGGACGAGCGTGCGGAGCGTGGCGAGATGGGCGTTGATGCGCTGCCTCCGCTTGCGCTCCGCCTCGCTGTGGCTCCGGACCGTCGCCCCCTTCCCCGGCGTGGAGCACTCCCCGTCCGTCGCCATCGACCCTCACTCGTCGTATCGGGCTATCGGGAGCGCAACCGTTGTGTGGAGGCGTCGTGCTCTGCTGCTACCATGGGAGGGAGAGAGAGGGGGGTTTAAGAGGGAGGAGGCGGGAAACCCCAGGGGTCGGTGGCGTATGCTTCGATAGCAGCGCGGTGGATTCTCGATCGGGCCGGACGGACGCCGACACGCGGCCGCGCTTTCCCGTCACCCGTCGCCCTGCCGCAGGATCGTGGATGGCGTCAGCGCGCGCGGTCGATCGACGACGGCTGTTTTGGCGGCTGGCGCGGGGGGACACGGCAGGGACATGGCGTATGCATGGATCGCTGCGCGGTGGCAGCCTTTGCGATTGGAGATCTCATCATGCCCCTCCTCCTGCCTTTTTGACGGAGTGAGTTACTCGGCTTCCGAGCGTCGGCGCTGCGCCCGCCAACTTCATTAACTAGCAGCTCCATCTCCCCCTGCCGCCCACGGTTAATGTCTCCACAGTGCCTCTTCTTCCATGGCGTGGCAGCAAGCGAATCAATGAAGTTCAGAGTTCTCCACTGTGCTAGTAAATCTGGGGTCAAGTCGTGGAGACAGGCGTCGCAGAGAGGACCGGCGAAAGAGAGTGGCTTTTGTCCATGTTGAACGGTGTGGTGCTGCTAAAAGGGCGCGCTGTATACTCCCGAACAGTGGTCAAAATTCCTCGAGCTTTTCCGTGCAGTAAAAAACGCTGGAATGCTGGATGGAGCGGAGCCGTGGCTTTTCTCGCACTCCACCGATGAACCAAGACGAAGGAGGGACAGGGCGCCGGGATCTGTGTGGCGTGTCCCCTCGCGACGCGGCAGCCGGGGGGCAGACAAGGGAAAGAAAGTTGAGAGCAAAGAGAGTGGCCGGGACATGTCATTCGTACGTACTC